TACCATCCTGAGTATCCATCATTTAGGTAATTTCACAGATTCAAATTAAATGGAAGGTGCATCCTCCACCAAACCAAGACCTGTCACTTGCTCGGTATTTAAGCTGTAAAAAAAAAGCTGGTTGAAAAACAGATTGCTTTCAACTATACCTTTGCAATGCAGTGCTCCCAATACAACCATTAGACTAGACTAGATGGGAGCAGAGTTCAGACCAAGAGAGATACATATTCTGCTACCTCCTGTGTGTCACCATCTGTCCGTCACTGACTGAGGAGGGATGCTTTTCCCTTGCTTTAAGGAACGTGCAATAGCATTTGAAAAAATCTTTCAAGCATCTACATATGAAGATACATAATCAGCATAATCAGTATCTAACCTGCATCCTACTCCACTCTTGTCCTACTAATACTGCTAACAAAGTTGATCTTGGTGAAAAATTAATATGGAAAATAACAGGGTAGTTTTGTAGCTGGCGTTTGAAAATACCCTAAATGGAAGCTGCCATTTTTCTAAAAAGACATATTGCTCCTAGAAAGTTGTTTTTCCTATCTGATCTGTTCTTTGTTGCAGTCTTTCCTATATGAAGCTTTCTAGAGTAAATTTTCTCACCATCAAAGTGATGAATATCTTCCATCGCCATTTCTCCAGAAAGCCAAGATCCCTGTGCTCAATGGGAACATGGTGCTTGACTGCCCCAAAATTCACAAAGTTTGAGAGTGTGAGCATCAAACGATGCCTTAGATCCAGGCAACAGCGAGGAGACACACAGCTGGCCTTCCTGGAGCAGGAGCTATGTATGGACAGTAGGATCATGGCACCTCATAGAGATGAGATAAAAGAGGAAACAAAAAATACAAAATAAAAAAGGAGATAAAGTTGAGTAAAAATGATCCCCAGAGCCTGGAAAATGAAAGGTCATTTAAAATTGATCTACTGTTTTTGAATATTGAATTTTCTTGAGGTTTTCTTGAGGAACTGTTGTTTGTGAAAGTCATCTTTGATGTAAATGGACTGTGGTTTTTTTTGAGAGAACAGATATATTGAAGACCACTTGAGACATCAGTGTGAATTAATGCATTTGCTCCTTTGCAGGAATAAACATTCAGCCAGCAAAAGCATCACAAACTGAAAGTGGTTATTTCCACTTACCCTTCTCTTTATTACCATGTCCCACCCAAAAAAAAGCATTCTTATTCCAAAGATAACAGTCATTCAGCTTGTCCTTGTACAGTGGGGAGAGATCTGCGTGCCCAGAAAACACACAAGGACTGCTCTGCTGTGGCCCATGAAATAATTTCTGTCCCCAAACCTGTAAGTCTGCTCTACGAGGATCAAGTTCTTTGGTCTCATGGAAAATATCAGTAAAAACATGAGGTAGTCAGTTCACCCCACTTGTTTACTAAGTGAGAGAATAACTCAACTGTTACCAAACCCTGCTTATTGCAGTTTCAAAAAAATACTATTATTGCTTCAGATGACATATGTGCATTTTGTGTGTTTTGCTGCTTACTACCATGACAGGAGATCAGAAGGAGGGAAATGCTACAATGCAGGCAAAATTGTCTAACTTTGGTAGCAGCTGAGCCGTAGGGCACATGGAATCTGTTCTCATAGATCTCTTGTTTGTGTGGTGTGCCCTGGTGTCTAATAATACAGCGGAGTTCATGTGTAGCCTTTTACATTGGATCACTGGATTGTATTTCATACATCTGGACAGCTGTCTTTTTTCACAAAAGCTGTAGAAATATTCATGTTGGGATCTCTACCTGACGTGACTGAAATTACTCAGTGGGTTATACAACTACTGGAAGAAATTGTGATAGCACAGGCACAAATAAACACAAAAAATTAATTCATAATTTCCTCGTTTGCTTCGACTGACTAGAGAGCCTTGTTTTTTGGGTTTGGTGTTGTTTGTTGTTGTTGTTTGCTTGTTTGTTTTTTGGAATTTTTAAAATCATTCAACTGCTTTTGGCTTTAACAGTCCAGTTGTGTCAGTCCTGGATCCAGGTACAAATGAGTAGATGATCAGCACAATCCTGATTGTGCCAAGTTAAAAACCTAAGCAAGTGACAAGGCTCAGGACTTTCAGGCAGAGCGTTTACAATGGTGTTTTTATTTTGTTAATGACTTACTGTAGTGATTCACCAATGCTTTAGCGAAAGCTGCCTTGTTCAGAGAGTCTCATTGTTCAAGCAGAGTAAGATTATTCCCAGTAAAAAAGCTTGAAAAATCCTCTGCTTAAACTAACAACTAAATAAAGCTTGTTATTTTAAAGAACATACAGATAACAGCAACTTTAAGTAATGGCAAAACATTTTTTTTTAATCCACCATAAAATTTTTTTCTTGATTTTTTTTTAATTGGGAAAAGAATCTTCTTCAGTCCTGACACAGAAGCCATGAAGTATCCAAAAATATAGGTGTCTCCTTAAGCCTTTGGTACTTGAATGTAATCAGGGCACTAGGCCTTTAAATAGACGAAAACAGGGGCTGAAGGTGAACTGGGGGCTTTGAGTCATGGACTTTCACGGGGTGCCTATCAAAACTTTGCTTCTGCAACTTTTGGTGAAATGTTCATTCTGGTAACGAATGGCTTGAACCACCCTAGAAGTTCCCTATTCAGCAACTGTCCACTGGCTCTGAGTTGCCTTAGTAGGAAAAAACCCTCACCAAAACAAAACAAAACTTACCAAGACATTAGATTTGCTTCCCACCTGGAAGCATTTAGAGGATGTAAAGGTATCAGCATTCACGTCCCTGTTTATAAAAACCAGGTTGACTTGATAAGTTGTTGACGATTTCATATAATGCACTGGATTTTCCTGCCCCGTTCCAGAGAGGCCGCTTGTGCTTGGAGCGAGGGAGGGTTTGTTTATGCAGCGGGGAGTGTGAGGACCCGGCTGTCACTTTCTGGAGTGGTGGGTGGTGCTCTGGGCTGCTGGACGCTGCCTGGGGGAGCAGTCAGGCATCTGCAGACGGGAGACCATCCCGGCATGGGGCCAACTGTTTACTTTCAAAGCCTTTGTACCTCAGGTTACTTGTAAGGCTGATGCTGGGGGAGTTCTGCTAAAACTGGACTGTGTACGTTCCCTGGTTTGCCTGTAATTTGCAGTTTATGAAAAACAGATGGATGACTGAGCGCTCTGCAAGTTAGGGTAGGAATGGGATATTCTGACATAAGAGCAGCTTTTACAGAAAACATTGAGTTAAGAGGATTCAGGCTCAAGCTAGATTGCTTCTTCCCTCCCCCCGACTTTTGTCGATTTTTACTGCATCATTGGTATGTGTCCAAGGAAAGTCGGCCATATCATTCGGAAATACAAGGGGGTAAACTTTTGACTGTCGGATCTCTTCAGGCTGAGAGACTCCAGAGTAAATGAACTGGGATAGAAAGAATTAAAAAGAGGGATTTCTTTAGATGAACTTTTTGGTTTTCTGCTCTGCCAACAGCAGTGTAAAATAACGAAGAAACTGCAGCACTCCTCTCCTGCCTTTCTAAATAATGTAAGTTACCCTTTCACACACATCTCTAAAATGTTCTTGAGGTTTTTCTGCTTTCGAAAGAACAGTGGTTTTATAGCCAGTGAGCTCTTGCCAGGAGCTCTGCTGTGTGAGTGAGTGGATTGCTTTGTCTTTCTTTTTCTAAATCAGGGCGGTAGCAGGGAAGCCGAGCAGTTTGACACCGCCTTTCTTTGATAGTTGTGTTAGCTTGGCTTTAAATGGCTGTCGAAACCTTTAAACCTTTTCAGTGTTTGTGCAGAAATTTGTTTGTGGCTGGCAAAAGACAATAGCAAATGTTTTGATTGAGCTATGCATGTTAGGCTTGCCGTAAGAGCAGGCATTTCAAGGGAGACTATGTGATGCTATGTAAAGAAGACAGGATGTGACAAGGGAAAACAAATGTTTCCTGCTCTTTAATATTTAAAAGAAATAATTGAAACAGAGCCAAGGAATTTGCCTAGAAAAGAAATAGTGATGTTTATTCAAAGAAAAATAATGACTCTCTAAATCTGACAGGACAATGCCAAGGTCTAATTAGGAGAGACATTTTGCTTTTCACAGTGGTTCATTTTTTGAAGCTGGAAGTTGGCATTAATGTTGCCATATTCTGTTGTGCTTTTATGAAGTGTAACTTGAGCCATTACCTGATGCATAGCTCTCCATAGGTTATTGAGGTAGGTTGATTACTCCCCTTTTAGTTCATTTTGCTATTTTCAAAATGCTATCTAGGCAGACTGTCAGGCAGATTGATAGGTTTAAGTAAAACCAGGGGTATAATTACAGATAATATACCAGGTAGTATATTAAGAATAAAACAAGAAGTAGATCAAGAAAATCACCCTGAACTGAAACATTCATCGGGCCAAAGCAATGACATAGATTTACAGGGGGACAAATGAGAAAATTGTTGTGAAAGTACAATGACTAAATAAATATTTCTTAGATAAGGATATTGCTTAAGGAAAGTTGCTTTCTGTTCCAGCCTTGGATTTTTTGTTTTGGTGGGCAAGGTATTTATCATCTAGATAATTGTTTATGGCCAATTATTATGATCTAATAATCAGTAGTTTTTTTCCTCAAAATTCCACGTTGCTGCTTGTGTGAAAACAAGTGATATTGACTAGCAATACTTATGAGAGCTTCTAGACAATGTGAATATTTTAAATAAACTTGGTAACATAAATTGCAGGGCTTGAAAAGCATATTGAAATGTTTGTTTTCTTAAAATCTGTATAAACTTGTTTATTTTCAAGTTAGTCCCATAATTTTCTGGATGATATCTAAATCATGAAGGTGTTATGGAGAAAAGGTATCAGAAAGCTACTGTACCTGGTCTTGGGACTGAATCATCCTGCTTGAAAACAAAGGCAGCAGAAAGAGGAATTTGTTCCCTGTTTCCAGAGGGTTTGGGGGAGGAATCAGTCTGTTAGCTGCTGACAAATTGAAATAAGGCTTTGGCCCACAATTTGGTTATAAAGAACAAGTTTGTGTTTTCTTTGTGGAGATGGAGAGTTCATTTCAGTTCTTGAGAATCATCCTTTTTCATGAGAAATAGCTTTGATAGGCCTTTAATAATTACATCTTTCTTCAGGGAGAAGGCTAAACAGAATTTTGGTTCAAGGCTCACATGCTGTTTGAGAGCCAGAAGGAAAATTTAAGTGGGTTTTATGACAGAACCAATTCTAGATTTGATTATAGGGTTTCTGGGAATAGGGAAGGATTAAAATCATGGAAACAATTATTTCAGTCAACTGGGAAAGATGCTTTGATTTCTTTATGTAATTTGTAAAGGGAGACAACAAATGTATCCTTATAGACACAGAATAAGAATTAGAAGTACAAGCACATTTAAGGCTTTGAGGGAGTGGTGGAGGTATGTGTGTCTTAAAAGTTGATATTTTTCATAGCATTGATTTTTGATGAAATCTTGCATTTGAGGCTAGATTTGAGACAAGCAGTGCCCATGGTTGGGCGGCACACTCAAGTGCTGTCTGAATTCTGCTATGTCCAGCAGCATGCACAACATTTGGAACATTAGACTTTATCTGGACAAAGATGATATTTCTGCTGGGAGGTTTCCCCAGCCCACAATACTATTCTTTCTCTGGCAGTCCTGGTTTTAGATTGAAGCTCAGGTTGTTTACTGGAAAATCCCAGATATTTGGTGCTTAAAGCCATCATAAAAGCATGCTGGGCCTGTCTTTGCCTGATAATGGAATTTCATTAATTCATAACAAAAGTAGAATTTGGACAGCTTATGTAAAAACAGCAATGCTCCTGATTCCTTTGAGGAACACTGAGGAATTAAATTAGCTGAAAAGGTACTGGGTGTTCTAATCCAGAGAATAAAGTGCTGTACATTACTATACTGAAGCTGAAATTTAATTATCTGCATAAAGTATTAAACATACACAGTTTTGCAGAAACATGTAATACTGTGTCTAGACACATGAACTATTTTTTATACAAACAAAGTCACAATGTATAGTAGGTTCGAATAAATCCTTGAGCTTCATTTGATTTGATCTGCTGATGTATTGTCTCATCAGAATTATATGTGTCCCAGTATACAAGTGTAGCTAGTTTGGACTATTTTTTTATACACAGCAACAAGTATATGTTATTGCAAATAATAAGTTCGGTTTATAAAGAATGTTCCTTAATACAGTGGCATTATATAAGGGAATAACACTTCTAATTTAATTAGTTGTTTTACCGACAATGCAGTATTCTGTGTTATAAAATGCCACTAATTCCAAAGCCCTAAAAATTTTCTCCCAGAATTCTTCCCATCCATATTTTGCAGGGTAACATATATGAACTTGCCTTTTTCAGTTATTGAAGCAATTCAGTGACTGCCAGATTGCAATCCACTGTTGCAAAAGCTACACTTGGCTGACATCTTTAACCAAAATTATAATGATCAATAATTATATGCTATTTCCAGAGACTGCAGGTTGTGGTTATGTTTTCTGTAATGTTTCCTGAAAAAAACCAACGGTGAGGAGAGCTTAGCATGTGAAATACATGGCATGAGCTGTTAGAAAAACTAGACTGAAAACAGAAATCAATATTCGTTGAAAGAAATCAATATTGGAAAGGAAATAAGGACTATTTAGAGGTTTTTTAAATACTGAAAGGAAGAGAATGGGGCTTAGCTGTCACATAAATGGACTTCACCCCTCCATATCTCCATTTTTGATAAGTTACTTTTCAATACATGCTCCTGTTGGAATTGGACTTGCTCTTCTGTTTGTTATGTGACGTGAATGGATTGCAGGCAGTCCTTTGGTGTGCTGTAAAATGTGTATTTATGTGTCTGTAAGGAAAAGAGCTGCTTAATTGCAAACACCAAATGAAATTTGGAAGAATTCCTGTTTTGTACACAAGATCTCTTTTTCTTCCTTTTTGTTTTTGATCAACTGAAATAAAGATTGCCTTCTACTGAACAAAACTCAGGCTGACCTTTGGAGAAATGAAAATGGCATTTCATGTCAAACTTTCTGAAGGGTTTATTTCTACAAAGACCATGTTTTATTTCTGTGGTTCAAATAAATAAATATATATTGTATAAATTGTAACATTAAAGGCATTTACCTTTGTTTTCTACCGTAGACTGTCTAAGCATTTTCTGTTCACAGTCTGTAGACATACTGCATGTCACTCCTAATAACTGGGATGGCTGGTTATATTTGGATTGGACATTACTTATTTTAAAAGGTGATTTTAGCTGGAAGTCAGTAATTGAGCTTGATCAGAAATACCAGTTTATAACTGGAATACCATACAGTTAAACAAATGACATAACATGCCATTAATATTATGTGTTTGGACAGCCAAGGATCTAGTCAGCTGAGAAGTCTGCTGGCAACCAGGCAGCCTTCCTACTTGATAGCTGGACTTCAGGGCAAAAAACTCAGAGGCAAATCACATTCAAAGGGAAGAACTGAAATTGGAAATGCAAATGAAATACAATTCTTGAGGTGCTGAATAGATATATGTAGCAGGTAGATGTTGGCTAGCTCTGTCCATCTGGCCACTGTCTAGTTGCAGTAGGGTTAAAAGAGGCACAGCTAAATTAAGAAGAGGCTAATCATAGACACATGAAAAATGTTAGCAGCATGTATTCTGGCACTGCTTACATTACATGGCGACCCTGCTAACACAAGCACCAAAAGAAACTCATGCTGAAATGGCTGTGATGGTTTATTTTTAAATATTAAATCTAAGCGGTAATGACTTAAGAATATGCCCTGCTAGTAGGAGAAGAGAAATGACATAAAAATTTACTGTAATCACATATATACTTTATGTTCCCCTGGAAGAACTACAAACAACTCTTCTTTTTATGGTCAGTACTTTTGCTCGTGTACAAGTATTATTCGTTCTGTCTCACTTTAAAACCATCTGAATATTATCGGTTTTGGATGCATTGTAGGAGTGGTTAATTAAGAGGATAGTGATCTTCAGTCGTTATGCCAAGGTGAATGCTCTTTGTAAAAGACATAAGGATTGAAGTAGATGCAAAACTTTTGATCAGATTTTAAATGCTTGAGATGAATGTTCAGCAATTTGCTTGTTCCTAATCCAGTATGGATTTATTTGTCTTAGTGTTATTAGTCTGTCTAAACATGTGTATGATCAATTTATGGGTGACTTTCTGTTATTTTGTCATGGAAAGCTATTTGTTTTGTGCTGCCATGAGCTTTTGTTCTTGATATTTTTTCTTGTACTTCTGGAAACAAAGAGTGACAATCCCACTTTTTTTGCTAGTTTTGAAGATGCTCCTTCAGCGAATATGTAATTTGGAAATTTGTCATGCCTGGACTGATGACTTAAAATAGTTTTAGTCCCTGCGAGGATCTGTACTGTGCCTGCCTCCTTATACATCAAAGTTCAGCAGAACTTGGTTATTTGTGAGCTTGAAGGTATATAATATCTACCAGTGTGTTTTGTGAAGTGCTCAGGAGTTGATTTAGCAAGGAAAGAGCAGTGTCTAGATTATTTTGAACTACATAACCCTGAATAGTACGAAAACATGAAAGTGCAAAATGCTCCTGCACCTTTTGTGGAACAAAAGGCCTCCAAAGTAGTGATGAAATCTTGATTATGCTGAACTTGGAGATGTTCTTGAAAAGATCCCAACAGTTATGGGGTTTGTGTGCCTCTGAATGCATTCATCTCTGTAGTGATCCTTGGACAGATAGTATGTATCCCATATCTAGCCCCAAACATATTTGGCCCATGATCTGTGCTATTAGAGAACTTGCATATTCTGTGAGAAATGGCACTTCCAAAAGAGCAGGTGCCAGCAGTTTCAATGATGTCTTCAGGGTCCCCTGGTTCTTCTGAGAACAGGTGTAAGGTTGCAAATACTGTAAATCCCTCGACTTAAAAATTAATCAGGAGCTAAAGTGACCCCCTGGAATGAAAATGCAGGACTGAGGAACAAACCATTTACAGCATAAATAAACTCGTGAAGAGGAAAAGCTGCCATGTTTCTCTGCATTAACACAGTTTTTTCATTTGGTTTTGCTTTTTCTTTCTTTTTCCAGTGATGAAACAGTATTAATGAAATTCTCTTCTACAACTTTCTCTCCTGTAATCCCTTTATTGGTGGAAGTGTTAATGTAAGCCTTCAGGGATTAACTCCCACAAGATAAGCTTCTGCATGTGCTGGTTTGTTTTGTTTCTGGTTTTGTTTGTTTGTTTGTATGTTTTGTTTTGTTTTTTGTTTATTTGTTTGCTTTTTGTTTTGTTTTTTGTTGAGTTTTTTATTTGTTTTTTTTTTTAATCTTGAAAACAGATTTAATTTGATACCTATAACTCAAGTAATTGCACTGTGCTGAAGTTAGGAAACCTAGGGGCAAAATGTCAGATAGAGCCACAGGTTATTTCATAGCATCTGAGGGTGTTTTTTTTGTCCTAAGTGTTACTCTGACACAATACTACAATATGGGTTAATATGTGGTCTTTCCAAAGTGCTTTTAAGATTTACTGGACCCTCTGCAAAGAACTGGTTCTTCTCTTATTACCTAATTCTTAGTCTGCTGAGTAGTTTTGGGAGCAACTGGTCTTTGTGCATCTCAGCTCAGAAAACAAAAGAAAGATAAAATTAAGTGTTGCACCATAAAGATTTCATTCTATTTATCAAATAAACGGTGGTAACTTTTGTCTTGCATCTAAACAGCTGGAAATAAATTTTGATTGTAAAATACAAACATGTTCTGAGGTACTTAGTTCCTAATTAAAGACAAATTGTTTTTATTAGTTTACCATAGTAATCCTTTACTTAAAGTCTGTCAGTGGAGATAAGTGCAACCCTTTATTACACAGCAAAAGAAGATATTAAGTATTGGAGGATCACTCTATAAGAATTGCACTACACGTTCTGTGTAGGCAGAGAATCCCCTCATCCCTTAGCATCCTCATTCTAATAAGATTTTACTATTCCATCGTATAAAACCTAGTAAAAACCCAGACTGGATTAGAGCATGCAAAAATGTTTGTGTATATTAAAGTGGATTTGCAAGGAAAAAAAAAGAAAGAAAAGTTCAATTTCCTCTGTTGACACAGTTTAAAAATTTTGTATTTTCATAAGCTGACATATTACACAGTCTTGAATATAATTAATTGTAAAAGCAGGAAAGTTTCTTCCTATATTTAACTTTTGGGATGAGTTTTTATCTGTGCTCCTTAATGGTGGCCTTTACCCTCTGAACAACCATCATTGTTTCACCTCTGGGATGTGCTCATGCAGAAGGCCTGCTCTGAAAATGTGTATCATCTGAAGGGACCTCTGATGATGAAGGTCGGGCAGCTGTTAAATGAGAAGAACCAGGACAGTGATCAAGGCATGATTTCCCCAAGCTCTATGACATTGCTTAATACATTGATAACACAGAGTACCTATGCAGAGAAAACAGAAAAAGGAAATACCACTGCAAGTCTCTTCTTTTTTCTTAGAAATAAAGTAAATGTGAAAAGATAAGAGGAAGGGGGAAAAAAATGCTAGGTTATTATTGTATTCACTATAAAAGGGTTCTCTGCTTGGGGCGATGATTAGTCATTCACCACTGTTGGGAGTCTTGTTTGTATGATTAGAAATGAGTGTACTTGCTAAAAGTATTCTGAGTGTCATTCCTCAGGCAACACTAGTGTAATAAGTCTGAGGGATTCATTTCACCTGACATACCTAAATGGCCCAGCTTTGCAGAGTGATAGAAACAGCCCTGTAGAGCCATTCATGGCCATTAAGGATGCCAAAGGGAGTGGCTACTGTGATGGCTCCTGTGATGTCTGAGTAATTTGAAGTTTTGCCTGGGTCAAATCAAAAGCCTAGCCTTATAATTTGGATGGTTGCTGATGGTACATGCTGACAGAAGAGCACAAGAGTGGATCAGAGATATCATGGTACTCTTCAGAATGATCTGCTCCTATTCCTGACTGCAAGTGTCTCATGCTATATAAGCCACTGTCTTGCACCTCTTTCTTTACAAAGATAGTCTTTATCTAAATTGATGGCTGGCTATGAAAACTTATTTCATAGTGTAGAAAGTACTTAGTGTCACAGATAATTTTAAATAGCAATATTCTAACTGTGTTTGGCCTTAAGATGTAGGCTACCTATGTTTGCAAGGGAACTTGTGTTGTTTGTAGCAGGTGCCTATCAGCAGGATTCTGGTACTTGAAAGAGATCTCCAGGTGTTATCACAATCCAAATAATAATGTGGTTGATTTAAGACAATATTGTTCTTGTCTCTCCTGATGCCAGAATTTTTTTCCAAGTACCTTTTTTTGTTTAAACAGATAGATGCATTCACATGGTTATTATATTACAGTTTCCTATACTGTCTCCTAATTTGCCTTTCATGTACACGAAAATTTACTGTTTTTCCTGTAAAGTAAAATGGATGTGGTTTCATGTAGAAATGAATGTTCTGTATATCCCAGTTCATCTTGGGAGGGTCTTAAAGTTGTGCATATGAGTGGTTCTGCTTTATTCCTCTTTCATTAGCTGTTGCTTCCAAAGTTGTGACGCCAGGTGAGAAGACTGATATTCATGCAGGAGTGTATAAGGTCTCCTGAGAATGTAATTTTTGCAGAAATTTAACCTACATCTGAGTTGAGCATTCGCTTATGAGTAGCTGTTGGGGGTTGAATTTTCTTTCCTTTTCTTTCCTTTTCTTTTCTTATTTGTGGAAATTTTTTGAAGGAACCTCTAGTATGTATGCCCAGGAAGGAAACGATAACGAAGGCTAGAGGGGTCCTGCCTCTAGCCCAGGGAGAGGCACAGGAAAACCAGGTCTTTTGGACAGTGTGGATCTCATGGCCTGGCACATCAGAACCACAAAAATATGAGGCATTAGTTGATACTAGTTCACAGTGTACCCTAATGCCATCAGGACATGTGGGAGAAGAACCTGTTTCCGGTGACAGGGGGATTGCAGGAATTGACTCTGCAGGAGGCTGAGGTGAGCCTGACTGGGAGAGAGTGGCAGAAACATCCAATTGTGACTGGCCCAGAGGCTCCCTTAATTTTGGGCATAGACTTCCTCCATAATGGCTATTACAAAGACCCAAAGGGACTCAGGTGGGCTTTTGGAATAGCTGCTATAGAGACAGAGGACATTAAGCAGTTGAACACCTTGCCTGGACTATCAGAGAACCCATCTTCAGTGGAACTTGATGGTGAAAGAACAAGTGCCAATTGCCACCTCGACAGTGCACCACTGGCAGTATTGGATGAATTGAGATGCCGTGATCTCCATCCACAAGATGATCCATGAGCTGGAGAGCCAAGGGGTGGTCAGTAAGGCCCACTCACCCTTCAACAGCCCCATCTGGCCTGTGAGTAGTTCTGATGGAGAATGGAGATTGACTGTGGACTACCATGCACTGAATGAAGTGACTCCACCACTGAGCGCTGCTGTGCTGGACATGCTGGAACTCCAGTACTAGCTGGAGTCCAAAGCAGCAAAGTGGTACGCCACCATTGACATTGCTAACACATTTTCCTCCATTCCTCTGGCAGCAGAGTGCAGGCCTCAGTTTGCTTTTACCTGGAGGGGCATGCAGTACACCTGGAACCAACTGCCCCAGGGGTGAAAACACAGCCCCACCATCTGCCATGGACTGATCCAGGCTGCTCTGGAAAAGGGTGAAGCTCCAGAACATCTGAAGTACATTGATGACATCATTGTGTGTGGGAACACAATTTGAGAAAGGAGAGAAGATCATCCAGATTCTGCTGTAAGCCTGTTTCACCATCAAGATGAGCAAAGTCAAAGGACCTGCCCAAGAGATCCAGTTCCTGGGGGTAAACTGGCAAGGTGAATGGTGTCAGATTCCCATTGAGATCATCAAGATCACTGCAATGTCTCCAACGACCAGCAAGAAGGAAACACAAGCTTTCCTAGGCGACATGGGTTTTTTGAGAATGCACATTCCTGAGTACAGCCAGATTGTGAGCCCTCTCTACCTGGTCACCCGCAAGAAGAACGATTTCCACTGGAGCCCTGAGCAGCAGCAAGCCTTTGCCCAGATCAAGCAGGAGATCGCTCATGCGGTAGCCCTTGATCCAGTCAGGATGTGACCAGAGGTGTGGAATGTGCTCTACTCTGAAGCCAGGAGCAATGATCCTTCCTGGAGCCTTTGGCAGAAGGTGCCTGGTGGGACTCGAAGTCGACCACTGGGATTCTGGAGTCAAAGCTTCAGAGGATCTGAAGCCAACTACACTCCAACAGAGAAGGAGATCTTGGCCGCCTATGAAGGAGTTCAAGCTGCCTCAAAGCTGATTGGCACAGAAGCACAACTCCTCCTGGCACCCCAACTACCAGTGCTGGGGTGGATGTTTAAAGGAAAGGTTCTCTCTACCCACCATGCCACCGACACCACATGGAGCAAGTGGATCGCACTCATCACACAG